GGTGGTACGCGGGCCTCTCACTGTTGTGGCCTCGCCCGTTGCGGAGCACAGGCTCCGGACACGCAGGCTCAGCGACCATGGCTCATGGGCCCAGCCCCTCCGCGGCATGTGGGATCTTCCCGGACCGGGGCACGAACCTGCGTCCCCTGCATTGGCAGGCGGACTCTCAACCACTGTGCCACCAGGGAAGCCCTGCAGAATCATATTTAATAATCATTCCCAAATATTTGTTCCTTAGCACATATTTCAGGAAAATTTATATGTTATGAAAAATATATTTCTTAATTTCATGTTTTGCTTATTACACGAGGGTCTTCAAACTCTGTTCCTATAATTTTCAAAGTTTCTTACTCAAAGATAATCTTGATATTTAGAGTACACCTAAAAACATTCGCAGATGGTAAAGTCTGCTACAAAAATGTGAACTGTTATAAATTTGAAAAGTTGCCGCTAATAATGTACAGTGAAAAGCCTTTTATGTTCATGTCACAGAAAAGTAGGTGGCTTTTTCAATAAGTAATTACATTCTTTTTATTTTTTTCTACTTCTGAATCAGTAATGTGCAAAACTATTTAAAATGATTAGGAGTTCAGTCTTGTGACTATAAAAATTCCACCCATAACTGGCGCCATTGGGCTCATTTTTTGGTTTTATTTTTTTAAAGGTTTCTACATATAAAAAGTAAACTCTTTGCTTTTTACATTCTGACCTTGTGTCTGTAGAGCTTATTCTTAGACAGCGTGTGGAATACTTTATTCTCCCGATATTGCACAGTATGTTCACTTGGACAACCTAGACGCACGGGCTCCCGTGTCACCTTCAGCTCTAGACAGTGGTTGTCAGGCTGCTGCTCCCAGATTCGAGGGATGGTAACACTGAGGGGCCAAGATGACAGGGACTCTTGTTCTGAAGTATTACATACAAACCTGTGTTGTGAACAATGCAACAGTATGTGTTTGTCCTGGGAGTCCCTGTAGCAAGGAGACAGATTGTCAGATTAGGCATGTTCAGCTATGAACAGGAATAGTAAGATTTCAAATAGTAATGTTACCTGGAAGTGCAGTAAATCAAGAAGGGATGACCTTATAAATATGCATGCAATTCCGGCTGTTCTGTTCGCATTAATGGCTCTGCCTATTACTTTTAAGTGTTAACTGGGGTGTATTAGCTTTGAATATAGTACTGGAATTGGTGCTCTGCAGCTTGGAGACTTGGCAGTTTTCCAGTATGAGGAAGAAGCTGTAATGTGTCATGTTTGTAGGCGTTGAGTAGAGCTTATTGAAATGATGGGAGATGCGATTACAGATTTTTTTTTTTTTTTTTTTTTTTTGCGGTATGTGGGCCTCTCACTGTTGTGGCCTCTCCCATTGCGGAGCACAGGCTCCGGACGAGCAGGCCCAGCGGCCATGGCTCACGGGCCCAGCCGCTCCACGGCATGCGGGATCTTCCCAGACCGGGGCACGAACCCGTATCCCCTGCATCGGCAGGCGGACTCTCAACCACTGCGCCACCAGGGAAGCCCTACAGATTTTTATTAAAGCAGCACTGCTTATGTTTTCATTTAAAACATGAAGTTTCCTGAGTCTGAAGCATTTTTCGTTTAGTTTTTTTTTTCTATCTACCGGAACATAGACTCTTAAGAAAATTGAAGCTCCCTCCCTAAACCTGCCTGAGTCTAAGATTATGTAGGCTTTTGGGCTGAGGTTTTTAATTGACTTAGCACTTACTATGCCATTTAACCTTAAGAAATTTGGTTCTAATTTATATAATATTACCTTTTGATTTTACCATAGATGTATTACGTTTAGAAAACATGGTCATATTTGGACAATAAGGACAATCACTCAGGAAAAGTAGAACCAAATGCATAATGCCAGTTTGTGGACATACGAGTCTTGAAACTGTCAACACTCTCATTCTGCCTCCTGAGCCTTTTGGCTGATGTGCCTGGAACAGGTGTTCTATTAGAAGTCCATGTTCAGTGGTTAAGTGGACACGAATACACCCCACGATTTGTGCGGGGATCCTACAGACCACCTAGGCACATCTCAAGAACCCCAGTCCCACGGGCCACCATGGAACCTGGTCGTAGATGATCCTAGAAGCTGCTTCCAGCATCCATCTCCTGTAATGTCCGAACTGCTTATGGAGTTAGCATATACAATTGTTGAATATGGCTGGGTCAGTGTAGACCACCGCAGGCAACCCAGAAGACATCCAAATCCCCTGGAGAAGTCTTAGTTCTGACTTTTAGAGCAACCTTGGCTTAAGTCCTGGAATTCGCACCACCTCATTAATTCAGTTACGGCTGTAATCAGGGATTGCAATTTAAATACCCACAGGGCTAGGAAGGTGACATAAACAAGTGTGAGCTGGGTGTAAGTAGGGAGCCCATTCTTTTTTTTTTTTTTTTGTCAGATACTCTGTAGGCCAAACAAAACATGCCTCCAGGCAGAGGGCTTTCAGTCTCTGGTTTAAATAGACAGTAAGTGGATTGGCTTGGGTTCACCACACGGCTTACAGTAATGAAAAGGTCACACACATTTGACTTTTTTGTTTTAATTGTAAGTATGTCTTTTGATTGGATCTTATAAGACAAAGCTAAGAGTGAGGATCAAAAAGATCTAGGATAAGCCAATAAGGGCAATGTTGTGTAGGAGTTGAAAACACAAAATCTGTAACCAGTCTGTCTGGTTCCTGTTCAGCTACTTTCTGTGTGACCTTGGTTGAATCACTTAACCTTTTTGTTTCTTACTTGAGAAGTAGGGATAACAATACCTAAGTATTGGGTTCCTGGGAGGATGAAATGAGTAAATATATGTAAAAAGCTTAAATAGTGGTTAAGCGTTCAATAAATGTCGGTTATTATTGATCTTGGCTGGGTTTTATTTTACATTTACTACTTCTAGTAATTTAGTACTAGTATCCCTCTACTAGTATTTTAAGACGTCCTTTTACCTTGCATAGAAATAAAATGGGTCAAGGGCTAGTGTTGCCATACTGAAGTGCAGACATTTCTGTGCAGTATTTTTATTTCTTTCTTTGCATCCTCCACGTCAAAAGAGCTGGCACCTGCCACTCTGGGTATCTTTCCACAGCTTCCCTTAGAAGAGAGGTGGCTGATATTCAGCATTAAGACACGTCATGACGTGTCGTCAGCTGACGTGACGTCAGCTCGTCATGTTTGACTCCAAGGGTCCAGAACCTTCAGGTCCCATTCATCAGTGTCTTTTGGCCAGAAGTTTCCAAATGAGGCACTTTGTGTTTGTGCGGTGGGTCCCTCCCCTGATGGTTCTCCATGAAGTGGGTCCCGGCGAGCGGCAGCAGCTCTGACAGCACTGTGTGAGCGCTGCCTGGTGTTCCCTCCACAGCCTCTGCAGTCCTTGTCCCTGGCTGACTCGAAACTCAAGAACGAGGTCACCATCATCATCAATGCCCTGGGAAGCAACACCTCCCTGACCACAGTGGACATCAGTGGGAATGGCATGGGGGACATGGGGGCAAAGATGCTGGCCAAAGCGCTGCAGATCAACACCAAGCTCAGGTACGCAGGCCGGGTCCTCGGCCCCGAGGAGTGGATGCTGGTTCAAAGGAAGGTCTGGAAGAGGGTCTGACCCAGCAACCACTGGGGGGCCGGCTGTGTTCGTGTGAGGCCTGAGTTTCCCAGGCGACCGGCTGGGGAGCAGAAGCGACAGCTTCAAGTCTTTTTTCAAAATATGGAGGAGGGTGTTCCCAAATTTAGACACAGTCATTCCTTCAAACTGCTGTCTTAAAGATTTCCACTATGAGGTAAACCCGGCTGAGAACCATTGCAGTTTCCCATTTCACAGCAGCATTGGCAGCTGACTGATGTGTCGGGAAAGGCAGGGGGCAGCAGAGGAGGGGTTTGGGAGCAGAGCTGGGAAGACTGGAGGAATAACATGAGGGGCTTCCCTGTACTTGGCTGTGAGCCCAGCATCTTATCTTCCCTTCCCACTCCCGCGACATAAAGACCTAAAACCCAAGGGATCCACGAAGTCCACTGTGTCAAAGGCAAGTTTGTACTGGATGCTAACTCTTCTGTTCAGTGGTTTTCATCCGTAGTGCTTCCCAAGCATGGCTTTTCTTAAGGATGAGCTATGCAGTAACCACTTCTCTTAGGGACTAGTTATCTGGTAACCATGTTACCATCCATCGTTCAGAGAGACCCAGTTGCTGCCTAACCCAGCAGTCTGGTGAAGGAAGAGTTAATAATTCACACTGCTCCTCAAGGGCTTTTTCTGGCTGTTTCCCTTGCTTCCCAGTGCAAGACAGAGCCCGCACCTTCTGTCTAAACTGAAGGCAAAAGGCAATATCTGCAGCAGTTTCTTTGAAGGTCAGTGTGTACGTGGTGAAGAAGCTCGTTGAGGTTAGGAAGAGAAAAGCAATTAGAGGTTGTGAGCCTGGGAGCGTTCAGACAAATAAAAGCCATTTCATGTGTCAGGTGAATTGACAAATCCTAAAGTACTTCTGAGGTATTCACATTCTGAAAGGAAGGTCATACTTTTCTTCCAAAATAGATTTTGTATTTAAAAAGTAAACCACCTCCTAGAATAACTGAGGTTTATCAGCAGAGTGGACTCAGTTGCTGGGATTGCTGATCATATCACATCAGGGCAATGATGAAACGTCAGAAAATATGACCACTTTGTCCCTCTAGTTGTTTAGAATAGAAAAAAGTCTCAGTATCTGGAATTCTTTATGTTGGACATGAGACTGTTTAGCCTCTTGTATAAATAACTTCAGCCTCAGACTTGAATACTAGAATGCTGTTTGGATAATATGTTGGGAGAATATCAGGGAAATAGGGTTTTAGGGCTTTCTGGCTAGCAAAGCATTACGTGACTTGATGGTAAGTTAATGTGTGTGCTGTTGCTTTTAAGTATGGTTTTTTTCATAGTACTTGAGCAGAGAATGGCTTTGGAATCTAATGTTGGGGGAAATGCTCATCCTTGCTTTGTTTGAAACAAAGCTGAACATTATTCCTTGCTCATTGTACTAAAATACCTAGACAGTGTTGCCTATAAGAGATTTATCTGCAATGGGAGAATCATTTCCTCCATTCTTAAGTATCTGATCATTTATGTGATTTGGTTTCCAAACAGGACTGTTATATGGGACAAGAACAACATTACTGCCCAAGGCTTTCAAGATATAGCTGTTGCTATGGAAAAGTAAGTTTTACTTAAGACTTCTTTATAGAAAAATAGAAAAGAACCAATGGTGTTTGTGTCTCTGTGGGGTAATACAAGTAGCAATAGATTGGGAATCAGAAGATCTGGGTCTGATTAGTCTCCTGCTAACCAGCCATGGGACGTGGGAAGACATTAACTTTCCTCTGGTGTGAGTTTCTTCATCTATAAAATGAGAGCAGAGATGCTTAGTCCACAGAACACACAAGATCATGGTTGCAGGGGGGTGGGGTGGAGGGTGCTACACAGCGGTCACCTTGCTTCTTTCTCCTTGTGGTTTTAAATCTTCCACCGGATCTCACTTTTTTTGCCCAGGATGACAACTCTGAATCCAGTGGTGAGAAGAAAGCTGAGGTCCAGAAAATAAAAATGAAATTGATGCAATGGCAAGGCCAGGGCTCACTGGTCTCATTTCTGTAAAAGGCTTTTTTTTTATTACCTTCGTAACTAAAGTCTGCAACTATTATTTATTGTCAAATTTACTTTCCCAGTAAACTAAATGAGGAAAGAAGAATACAAACGTGGCTGAAAAAAATGCTAGAAATCTGGTTCTTCCTGAGCTTTTCAATCCTCATATTGTATTCTAATGGTAGAAATGATCAAAGCAGATTTATAGCATTAAAAATGAGAGGTTACAAAATGTAGGAGGGAAATTAGGGGCCAGTAGCATAGAAGTTCGGCCTTTTAGGAGGGGGAGGGGGTGCTCATTATTTTGTGTTTTCCTCCATGCACGGCCGCTCAGGTGGAGCTGTCATGCCCAACATGGTGATCTGGATAAAGGCCTAGACCTGGAATTAGGAGCCCTCCATTCAGTCCCCAACTCTGTCACCAGTAAGCCTATGATCTTGAACCTATGATCATTTCACATCATTGATGAATTTTTCTTTTATAAAGTGAGAAATCACAGTAAATTATCTCTAAGTGGCTTCAGTTCTAAATCCCGTGGTTCTCCTTTGGCCAGGAAGTCAAAGTTGCTGCCACCACCGGCCATTGCTAAACATGGATAAGGCAGCTTATACCATCAGTCATCATGGCCACCTCTCCCGGGAGACTTCTGTGACTGCAGAACCTCCTGTAATTACACCTATTGCACACAAAACCTTTGAATGGAAACATATATTTACAGATTGCTGCATTTGGGTGCTAACAGCACAGCTGCCACTCTAATGATGTTGCAGACTGCCAGCCCAGGCAGGTCTTTGTGAGAAGCCAAGAGGATGCAGCCCCAACACTCCACATTTCCAGATTGAAAGTAGAACTCCCTGATCACAGTCTGTTATGTACTCTGTGCTACAAGATGCCAATGGTGTGAAATCACATTTGGTTTAAATAAACCACGCTGGTCTGAAGCATGATGAAAAGTGTATGAGGGAAAAGAAAATCTTCAAGGCTGCAAAAAGAGATGTATTATCTTAGTTTCAGTTGGCTGGTTCCTCTTAAGTCAAACAAAAGCAATTTTGCTCAAACAAAGCTAAGGTAAAAATTAAAGTTATAGAAATAACAGCCTTGTCTTTGCTGATTTTTTTACTTTAAGCCATCTTGTCAGTTGGACTGGATGAAGAACAGTTTTTTTTTTTTTCCCATTAGGTAACCATCCAGATTGGCTGCTTTTATTAAGATGACTGTTTATTTTCTTTATTATTTCTTCATTATTAGTACCTATTTTTGGAATTAGTTGTTAATTTATTCTTCCAGTAGAAGCCATCTGACTATCCATAAGAGTTACACCATGAATGCTGCTTGTTGTTTAGAGACCTAAAACAAGCCAGCTGTGGGATGCCTAGGTACCAGTTGCCAACACGTGGCCCACAAGGTCATCCTTCCTGAATGTCTTATTGTAGAAACAGATGCATTTTTGGTTGGGAGAGAGGAGGCATCTCCAGGTCTAGAGTTTGTGGTAGGGGAGCAGGTGTGAGTGTTCATCCAGACACATAGCACTTTGTAGCAAGTCAGGAACACAGGCCAGAGTGTGGATTTAGAGTTCTCATGCAAAAATGACTCACCCTTGCATTCTTGTGTCTAATCAGCTAGGCAACAGCCGTGTGAGGTGTTAAATAGACCCAGAGTTCCACAGTTGCTTTACTTGGTGTCTAGACCCTGGGGCACTCGGGCTGATTTGGGGTGCCAACTGCCAGGACCTGCAGAGGTCAGGTTGTTGAGCCAGCAGGAAGGTTTTCTAAAGACAGTCACTGGTCTTGGACTGGGTTATTTAAAGGAGCCCAGAGCCTGAACAGATTGTTTTTGTGGATGCTCACATCCTTGGCTTGGCGAGCAAATGTTTTGGTTCTATTTTGGGGTTTTCCTCTACCGTTCTGGGTCTGTCTGTCACGTTGTCACTGTGGTAATCAAGTTACCTTCAGATCTGTTGGTGACTAAAATCCAAGTAGCAAGTTGATGCTGGACTTTTTTCCCAGCCTTTCTCTCAGACCATCTCTCCAGTTCCAATTTGAAAATCCTGTCCTTACTGTAACTGAAAACTGAAAGCAAAACAACAAAACCAGACTCCTTCAAGTTGTGTAGGTTTTGTAGACAGCGTGAATTGACGAGGTCACCTGTGGTGTCGCAAAGGTGGTAGGAAAGAAGGCTGACCTGCAGTCGAGGGGCCTAAGATGGTCCGGTAGTTTAGAATTTTCTAAGACGCTCTGGCAACTCTTTTCGGATTTTAAAAGAGTGCTGAATTAAGATAATAGGAAGTTATTTTCAAATAAACATACCATTTTCTCCTTTTTCTAGGAACTACACGTTGAGATTTATGCCAATTCCTATGTATGATGCTTCTCAAGCCTTAAAAACAAACCCTGAAAAAACAGAAGAGGCTCTGCAGAAGGTATTGAAGGATCAGTAACTTAATTATAATAAATTCACATTCGAGTGGAATTGTGTGAATAATACATTCTGAACATATGAACAGTGCTTTGTATTTTACAAAGCTTTTTTCACATTAGCTTGTATTCTTATGATCATGACTGGCATAATGCATGACTGAGGAAGGAATAAAATAAAGACTAAAACTTGTCATGAAATTTAAGTGGAGTAAAATAACATTCTTAACAGCATCAACATGCCAGACTTAGGCATGGATAACTCCCTTTTCATCCATTGGAGAATGTGTACAAGTGAATGACAGCTAGCACAACCTTCATCCCCTTCGTCCTCAACAGCTAGAGCCTTCCCTTCCTTCTTCATCGAGAAATTTAGGGCATTACTGAGATCTCGCTTTACCACCTTTGTCTATAAATGTGTCTGAATCCACACCCATGCCCACCTCCTTTCTGGCAACCCCAGAGGATGATGGGTACCTTCCCCTTCAAAGCCCAGCCATCTTCAGTGCCTTTGACCCCAACATCTCTGCCCTGTGCTGGAAACTTGCCCCGTGAGTCATTCCCTTGCTCTTTCATATCTTCATCCTTCTCGTTCTATGGTTATGGCTACCTTTCTCTCTACTTTTAGATGTGCTCAAATATTTCCCATCTGAGGAAGCCTGCTCCACCTTTATTATGGTGTTATTTGGGAAATCTTCTAAATCTTTCTTCCCTCTTTGTTCTTTCATCTGGTGGTACCACCCTCTGTCCAATCTCCCAAGCTTGACTTTTTTCCCTCTGTATCTTCTGTAGCCAATCAGTCACCAAGTTTACTGATTCTAGCGCATAAATCTCTTCATTAACTCTCCTTCCCTCTCTTCCTATAACAGATGCCTTGATTCAAACCTCATCCTCTCTCACCAGGATGATTACATCCTCTTGTCTGTTTTCCATGCTGCAGTCAAAAATAGCCATCTTCCTTCACGGTGAAGTTGATCAGACTAAAACGTTCAATCCATTCCTCCTGGTGGCTTTTAGGATAAAACCCAATCTCCTTAACTTATCATGAATTTCTGCCCAGGATCTGCCTCCTATTCACCGCCAATTACCAGCCCTTAGTCTTTGTTTTGCTCTACCTCAGGGAACTTGTTAGAAATGCAAATTCTTGGGCCTCAGAAACTAGGGTGGGACTTGGCCATCTGTGTTTTTCTGAGTTGTCCTGATGATTGTAACATTTGAGAATCACTGCTCGAATCTAGATGATACTCATGCTTTCCCCACTACTGTGCACATCTGTTGAGATTGAAATCAAGGGTCAGTTCATCCAGGAAGACTTCTCGGAGTCCCTTTTCCCTGCTAGGTTGGTGGTCTTCTCACAATTTCCTGTGGTTCTCTCTGTCACTGGCCTACATTGTTTTTTTTAAGTTACCTGCCTCTATTTTTTTTTTTTTTTTTTTTCCCGTTT